ATCGATAACGCTAATGACTAAAACGAAAATCTCATTTAAATATAAAAATCATATTTTAAAAGTCATTTCTCCTGAGAAACTACGGTAGAACATGAGAGAATACTTCATACATTTATCTTCTATGAAGTCCAAAGCAGATCTTAGACTCATATAGAAGTGTTTCCAATCATCTAGACTTCCAATTTTTTTTGCTATTCGAAAAACACATAATTCGTTCACTCTGAATAGAATATATAAATGAGCTCAAATTTATTTGAGAAGAATTGGTCAATCAGCTTATTTGAATAGGAGCTGACGACCAGCTCATGAGCTTGATCTATCACTTCCCTATTCGATAGAAATTCTCAACTTTATTTCCCAATGGAATTATAAATAAGAACTATTTTAATTGATTTGATTTGATGATTTATTTAATTTTATTTAAAACAATACGACAAATATTCTAAAAAAACTTAAGCTGAGTTATATTTTCGAGAGGGAATAAACGAAAGCATATTATATCATATCACAGTAAAATATATCGGTATGAAGATCATTCAATAGTTTATCAAATAAATAATAAATTTATGAAGTAAAATTTGATGATAAAATTTCTCTAAGATAATCATCTGATGCACAAATTCGATAAAATTCATTTTGAAGATGAATTTTCATATCACCATTTTCAACGAATGTTTCAATAAATTTATTTATATATGTTAATATATTATTTTTTAAACGATCATTATTTGCTTCACCACGAAGTGAAAGAATTATTTTGAATAAAAAATTAAACAACAATGTCAAATATTAAGAGGTCAAAGTCAGAAATTCGATTCAGACTGAAATTCATATAACTTCATAAAAAGAACTTACATATTGTTGTACAATAAAATAAATCAATAATAGCTGTTCCTTGCATAAGTGCATCATTTATTGATGGATAATTTTCAATAAAAAATGATGTATCACCAGCATAATTATATTCTAAAATAAAATTCAAAGAATTATTTTAAAAAAATAATTACAAGTAAAACAAACTTAAAAGTATAAAATCTCGTGAAGAAAAAAGTTGTTGAGCAAAATCAGCTAATGATTTAATATTAAATTGTAAACGTAATGCAAGCATATCAAATATTCCATATAAAGATTGATAACGTATTGATAATAAACTTGCTACTTGCATAATTGAAATTATTTGAGAATTAAATCTTCGTTGTGTTAGATTCATAAATGTTTCACAATCAAAATCAACAAATGATAAATGTGAACCAACATCATAACGAGAATCGCTTAAAAAATAAAAAATATTAGAAAAGTAAAATATTCTCTAGATAAACAAACTTCTAATGAATTTAAAAATGAATCAACATCAGAATCAAGTTCAATATAAAAAAATATCTGATAAAAAAAAAATTTTTGGTTTATAAATATTTTCTTCAGATTATTTTCATAACCAGCAAGAGATGTAGAAGTCGAAAATATAGCTTGTTCTCATGTCATTATTCTACAAAAACCATATGTTCCACATTGTTGTCAAGTACATTATGATGATAATATTTGAAATGTAACTGACATTGAAGTATTAGCATATTCATTCTCTAAACTAAAACAAAAATTATTTTAATAAAATAATTTTTTAATTAAACTTACTTATTAAAAATATATTGTAATGTTAAATACTATAAATCCATTTCTCGAGACAGTAGTCATCTGAGTGTAGATGAGTTTTTATCAATAAAAATTTTATAATTTATCATATGAACATCATCAATTTTTAGATAAACATCTAAGAATATTAATATTTGTATTTAATAAAACAAAAACAACTATTCAAAAAAAAAATATATATATATATTTATATTAGAAAACTAATATTAATCTTTACTTTCATTTGAGTTTGATAATCAAAACGAATTATTCCACTAATATTTCTATCATCAACAATAAATTCATATACATAAATAGATAAATTATTTCTATTTAATATTATTGAATTCAACCTATACTTAAGATTTAGTATTTGATAATTAATCTTCAATAAATATATGAATAAATTCAAATAAAGAATAAAAATTTTCTTAAACATTTTCATTACCACAGTAAATCATGTTGTTTTTCTTAATAGATTTTTTATTTGAATTGTTTCATTTGTTGATGTTTGATTTCATATTGTTGTTATTAAATCATGACCAATGCTTATGTATGTTTCAGGAAATAATTCATTTTGTCATGCAATTAATGGATAAGTACCATATTGAAGATCACTACTTTAAAAAAAAGAAAAAAGAAAACTATTTTAATGAAAAGAAAATTTTTTTAAATTTTATTATACAAATGAATATTGACAAGATAATTAGTATCAATAGTTATCGACCAATTAGCTAATGTTGTTCGACCATAGATTTGAAATTTAAGAAATTTAACATCAGAACAATTAGTATATTCTAAAATATGAATACGAGAATAGTATTGTTGATCATAATTTAGTTGAAAATAAAATTTATGTCAAAACATAGCGAATTGTAGATCTAGTTCGATTTGAAATTTTAGTTTTTGTCAAGTACTAAACTCAAAGATGAAGAAGAGATGATGATTTGATCGTTTTGGATTGTATCGTTCCTAAAGAAAATACTAAACACCTCAAATTAGTCTGTTAAAATAATTCCAAACTAAAAATAAGAAAATGAATTTTATCAAAAGATGGACATTCAGAAAATATGCTCATGTTCAGTAGAGATAAGCTTGAAAATAAACCACTTCTACAGCAGATGTAGTAAAGCCCCCCCCAAAATAGACGGCCACCCTATATTAGAAGGCCACCCCCTGTATAAGGCCATGTCCGAGCAAAAGTTCAAACGCTCTATTAGAAGGCCATGTACTAATTAATTAATATATTCCAAAATTATCGAAATTTTCATAAATATTAATTAATAATTAAGGAAATATAACCGATTTTCTAATGTTTTTTTTGCGAAATCCTTCCTTTCCTATCATAAATAGTACAGTTTTTACAAAAAATGGTAGTTTTTTCAGCAAAAAACACCTAAAAAGCAATAATTAAAGGTATTAATTAATTATTAATTTTTTAAATGATTTTAATTAAAAACTGGCCAAAAATTGACTCCCAATAGAAGGCCATCCAAAAAGTAGCGATGTGCCAAGACACTGTATAAGGGCATGCCCTTTTATTCTGGGAGGGGGTTTAGTTCTTTTTCATACGGTGCAATCCCAAATTCATCCTTATTCCTGATTAAATATCGTCGGATTTGAGTCTGAAATGCTATACTAAATCGAGTCCAAATTTAGGTAATACTTGGCAATATCTAGATCTAATGCATTTCTCACATTGTCAATTTCTTGGATTTTAAACATGATTTATAATGAAATAAAACGAATATTATCCTATCAATATATATATAAATGATTAGCGCAATATTCGATAAAAGAATGTTAAGGATATATGAATATAAGAACACTTTCTTACTTTTCGGTTAACAAATCGAGTTCATCGATGTAAGCTAATGATAACAATACTTGCTTCAAAACACGTGATGCTTATATTTTCTTCTGTGTCATTTTTTAAATCTCTCTCTCTCTCTCTTGTTATTGTTCCTTTCCTCTCTCTAACGTCCATTTTCTTCTCTTTTCTTTTCACTATCGTTACTGTCTCATATGTTGACGCTTTTCTCAATGTGACTTAAATGTATATTTGACATGCAGTTGGGAGAAGGAGAGATACATAACATAATAATGCATTATATCATCCTCTTTCTAAAACATAGGAGAAGAAACTGATCATCTTCTTCTTCTCTTTACTTGCTTTTTCTCTCTTTTCTTGTGTATAAATACTCATGTTTTTCTTTCATTAAAGTCCTATTATTAACATTCATAAAAAACCTGTAACAATCAAACCTATGATCATATGTGATAGACGAAAATGATATTCAACTTCTTTTAAAAAAAATAATAATATTTTCAAATAAAGAAATTGATATTCTAAAGAGTCTATTAAATTCGCTTGTGTTATAAGAGAGTACGATCTTTTTTCTGATTTGAGAGTTATCAGTTTATTGCTGGAAATCGTACAAAAAACTAACAGTTTTTCGACTATTGTTTGTTATATCTACATTAGGATGAAATATTTTCAATCGGCTTTTATGCATAATTTCATACAACTCATGATTTATAATATCTCAAACAATTGAATAGAAAGTGAAAATCCAATATCAATGTTTATGAAAAGTTCATTGTCATTCTATCGATAAAAATCAAATAGACAATCTCATCTATTGATGAAATCCAAAAATCAAGCTGAATTATCATTGATTGTTAATAAATCGTTTTTTATCCATGAGGATCAAAAATATCTAAAAAAATTCACATAACAAAACAATATTGTTTAGTTAGGCAAAAAAAAAGAAAAAAAAACAGTCACTAGAAAAAGAAAACAAACAAATACAAGAAAATATATTAATTATTGTTATGATGAAGATAATTTTGTAAGAATATCAAAAACATCAGTACTACATTGAACCATACGTCCAGTAACTAAACGAGATGATGGAGATTTTAATTGTTCATGTTCACCATATAATAATGCTTCTTTTAAATATGTTATTGATGTTTCAAATGTTATTTTTTTATAAAGGACTTGCATTTATTTTTAAACCTAAGCGATTACATGGTTTATAAGCACCTTCATATGTCATATAATCAGCTAATAAAGATAAATGTCTATAACCAACTTCAATTAATTCAATAAGTACGAAATACTCGATTTATTTCACATATTAATGTACGATTAGCTGCTTTAATACCAAATATTTTGTGTCATACGATGAATATTATTTGATGTAGGTGAAGTTAGCACCAGATTCGAGTAAATCCAGCCAAGATTCGCCCAGGAACATGTTCCAACTGTCCCAGGGTGTGTTCCAAGTACAACTCGATGAGCTCTATCGAATGGTGTATTCCAATTCCCGATAGCTCAAACACAGTCCAAGAAAAT